TAATACTAAATCTATAAATATATGCACATAGATCTATTTCCCCATCCTCATATATAAATATATTTTCATATGTACATGTCTTTATCTAGACCTCTATAAATTCCCTTTGCCTCCCAGCAATTTCCTCTATTTCCCTTGACTTTCCTCCTGTCGGGTGGGAAGTCTTGAGGATCCAGTGGCTGTGGAAGCATCTCAAGCACTGGCATAGTTCTCATGTCGCTCCTCCAGCTTCAGCGCTTTGGGTGGGATCAGCATAGCTCCATGTGTCTTGTCAGCAGGAAAATGAAGCACAGAGCGTGTGTGTACGTCCCACCACCAGAGAGGAAGACAGGAGATCCCAGAATCCTCAGGAGAAGGCCATTTCCACAGAGAGGCCTAGACTCTACCCCTTTACTCAAGTTGACAGGAGATTATGTAAGGGCCACAGGGCCGTTTAAATATTATTTAATTATTTTTTCCAACAGTTTTATTGGCAAGTCCTTTACACATCATATAATTCAGTAGTTCAATCACATCAAAATTTTTTTTAATTTAAATTTTACTTTATTGGGGGCTCTTACATCTCTTAACACAATCCATACATTTTGTCAAACAGATCTTTACATATGTTGCCATCATCTTTTTCAAAACATTTTCTTTCTACTTGACCCTCTGGCATCAGCTTCTCATTTTCCCCCCTCCCTCCCTCTCCTATTTCCCCTTGATAATTTATAAAAATTTTTTCATGTTTTTTATAGACTGCTCTCAATTCACCCACTTTTCTGCTGTCTGTCCCTCTGGGATGGGGCCATACGTGGATCATTGTGATTGGTTCCCCCTTATTCCCCCCAGCCCTACCCTTACCCTCCTAGTATCGCTTCTCCTCTTATTGGTCCTGAGGGGTTTATCTGTTCTGGATTCCCTGTGCTTTGAGCTCTTATCTGTACCAGAATACATGTTCTGGTCTAGTCAGATTGGTAAAATAGAATTGGGGTCATGGTAGTGTGTGAGTGGAGGGTGGAGGTGGGGGTGGGGGAGTAAGCATTAAAGAACCAGAAGTAGGATGTGTGTTTAATTGGTGCTATACTGTACCCTGACTGGCTCTCTTCCTCACGGCCATTCTGACAGGAAGTGTCCAATAGACTAATGATGGGCTTTGGGTCTTTGATGCCTGATACCTTATCCCATCGACACCTCATGATTACACATGCTGGTGTGCTTCTTCCATGTGGGCTTTGTTGCTTCTCAGCTGGATGGCTGCTTGTTTATCTTCAAGAGAAGGTACATCTCTTGTGCTGGGGACTGTCGTACCTTGTCATCTGGCTGATTGTTGGTGACCTGCTTGCTGTTTGCTGCCTGTGGCCGGATAGCCTGACTTGTTCTACAGAGACTTGAAGGACTGCCAGTGTATTAGCTGTCTCACAGAAGGGAGTTGCACTGAGCCATTTGGACAGATTTATAGATTAATTTACTGTTTATTTCTTGTGTTATATATCTATCTATATACATCTATGTAAAATTATTAGTGTTCTGCTTTTGTTTCTCTAGAGAACCGTGTCTAACATACGGGTCCAGGTCTGTCCATTGAGCTTTACGAGTGTTTTCCAGTCGAGTCAGCTGGGGTGCCACGCCCTGGCTCCCAAGTCCACCTTTGGCATTCCTCGGGGACTTCATTGTTTTGCTCCCCTTGCTACCCTGCTGTACACCCTTAGTGTTTACGCTGGTGCGGTGGAGTCAGATCAGGCACATCTCTGGCACTGTGTCCCCAGTACTGAGGGACATGTCGTCCTGTCTTGTGATGGGGCCGTCCCCGTGATACCCTCTGTGCCTTGGCCGCTCTGAGCTGGAATCTTGTCCTCAGGGCTTGGTGGGCCAGGGTGTGTTCTACTCTCTCCTTACCGCTTCATTTGCTCCTGTTCAGACGCTCCCCACTTCCTGAGCTGCAGCTCAGGAAGTCCTCTGACAGCAGTGCTGTCCTCTGAAGTGCATTCCTCTGGGGGTGGGGGATAAGAGGTGTTCATGTAGTTGGAATT